GAACACACTCCGTAATTCTCTTGCTGTCATTCACAGAATTGGTATATATCCAGTGAGTCTTTCTTGGTATAACGGCGCGTTCCTGAAAAATACTAATTTCCTAATTAGTGAGATCCAGCGTTCGGTTCTGGGAAAGGGTGTTTGTGGTGGGATTGGGTTTGTGGTGGGATTGGGTTTGTGGTGGGATTGAGATGGAGATGGAGATAGAGATGGAGATGGAGGTAGAGATGGAAATAGAGATGGAAATGGAGATGAAAATGGAGATGAAAATGGAGATGGAAATGGAGATGGAGATAGAGATGGAAATGGAGATAGAGATGGAGATGGAGATGGAGATAGAGATGGAGATGGAAATTGAGCTCGAAACAAAAGCTCGAGTTCGAATGGTTAGAATTGCCAATTGCTACTGAGGGGTAGAGTGATGAGGTTAGGATACTGGGAAATTGAGGAGTAGAGAGGTCGTGATAAGGGATTGGAGATTGCGCGGGAGGTGGGATGAGTATATATGTATAGAGTTGTAGTAGGAAGAATGGTGGAGGTGAAATAGTTCGATGGTGGAGGTATGGTAAGGATATCGATTCTAGCGGAATGTCTCTATAAGAGATAGAAAGCACGGCATGGTGGTAGGATGATGTTCTGGCTTGGAGACAGGCGAGCTCGATGGGCAAGAGGTTCTAAGATATCTATATCGTCATATTCTGATTGTGTGCCGACTTTCGATAGTAAGGTGTTTCCTGTGCTTGTGGGAACACGACGTGTTCGAAATTTGGCTTTTGCAGAGGCTCGAAGTTGATGGGATGGAGAGGTTAGAATGGAACATAGATGATTGATCTTTTAGAAGGGTATTAGGTGCTTACTCTCGGCGGATGGGTTGATCTAGACTCTAGATATATTCGTCAATGTATTTCAGTCAAAGAAACTCAACTCTCCAGTAACACTCATGGGGACCGGCAACAGCGGAATAATTGCCGTCTCTTCATTTTCTTCGTTATCATGGCTGATTATTCATTTCTCTTTGACATCATCCTTCTGCACTCCGCGGCATCGATTGCAAGATGTTTCAAGGGCAGTAAAAGCCTGGCCTTCTCGTGCGCTGTGGTTCTCGGTTATTTTCTCCTTGAGTTTGGAAATGACTCGTCGATTGCTGAGAATTGCTCTCAAAAAGGATCAGCAAAGTGATTGCGTTAGAAATAAGCACGAAGATTGATAATTTACAATGGAGAAAATAATCTGGTCACCAAGTTCAATAGTATTAACAGGTGAAAATGTTGATAGAGGATGACAGTGTACACTGCAACTATCAGGCATAAGGAGGCAATCGACTAACATATCTTTGTGAAATAAAATTTGTAATCTAGCCTGGCATATCCATTCCGATACCCCGTTCATTTTTAAACACTGTTGGTAGAATCTACAATGAAGAAATCTCCAAGCTACCATGCAGCCATTACAAATATCCTCATCTCAAATACCCACACCTATGCTCTCCACGCCATCGGTACTTTGTCGGTATTCTACTGAAGGCGTTTATCTCGACTTTTGCAACACGCGAACAATAACATTTAAGCCTGTTCTCTGCTGTTAAATGCAAAATAGCTAGTGTTGCAAAACTTGCTTTAGGGCCCATATATTCAAGATGGTAGTCGGATAGTTTTACCAATCGGCCATCTTTCTTACTGACATTTTCTCCTTTTCGGTTTCAGTTTCAAACTTATTAACAGATGTGTTCATTGACTTTACGAACATTAACAAACTGTGAAAGAGTTTAATGAATACAGTTTCATAGTTCTGGCCGGCCCGAGATGATGATAATTGGTACAGTTCGCCGTAGTTGCACAAACTCAATACTATGGCAAATTTAGGTGTATGACTGATGGTAGACGATGCAGAGATGATTATGAAATAGCGAAAGCAATGAATTCTCTCCTGTGGGCTTCAATACAACTTTCCATAAACTCAAATAGACAAGTGCTGATATTCGATTCGCACATTCCAGAGGAAGCAGGGGATGGCTCAATAAAGTCTCATCCATATATATTGAATCTATGAGTCTTAATCTCTTATACCGGGCCGTATGCTGGGCTTTGCGCGCTACGCTCGGCACAATGAATGCTTAATATATGGATTTGAAAGACACTGTACTGAATTGATTCGCTAGTTTCACATCCAAATGGTGGTGGTTACAGCTGTATTCACAAAACTGAGCTTGCTCTCCATACGAGGAATCTCTGTGCTCGAGTAGCTGCGGGGGATTTGAGCAGATACAGACGATGAGTTGTCAGCATCGTGAATAGGAGATTTTAATACCCGAGTGATATTCCAACAATGATTGTGTTTAGATTTGAGAATATACTAGAGACAACTGTGCTACGACAAACGCTGAATTCGTCTAGAATGTTCGTGATATTCAGAGTATTAGAATCAATGGAAGCTTCAAGAGGAAAGCAGAGCCGGCTTTTCGGGTCCATAATGCAGCCCGGACCATTGAAAAATCCCTGCAGACGAGCTACGTCTGGGAGACAGCGATCATTACAGATTCCTTCCTTAATATAGAATAGATCATCGCACGGAAAGAAACTTTAAAAATACTTTGCAGAACACAGGATAAATTTCGTCGAAGGTCCGTATGAGATATGCGGGATTCTTTTCATATCGAAAATTGGCCTAGCAATTTGTGGGGTCAAAATTAAAAATGGAAGCAAACGAACGGAAAGAATGAATACTTTTCTTAACAACCCTCCAGGAGATCATAAATTAGATGGAGTGACATGTGCGACTGGAGAAGGGGAGCGCATTAGCTTATGGGGGGGCAGCGAGCTGTGGTTGCATTGCGGTTGGGCTGTATGGATATTTAGGAAGGTCGTGGCTGGGCATGAGTGGGACCTCACGATCACGATAGAGGATCTGAACATTTAGAATGGTATATGTGGAAGTAGAGATCGAGATAATGGTTCGAGTAGACGGAGCGTGAGTGGATACGAATATAAGCATAAGTGGGAATGTGAAAGGACAGGTTTGACTTTGTGGACATGTACCAAATCAAAAAGTTGAAAGCACAAGTCAACAGAACTAGAAAAGATGAATGGAAGAAAGTGAATAAGGAAGACAGAGTGGTCCGTGTTCTGTCTATCTTATACACGGACAGAAACTATTGCTATACGCACAGACTAACGGCGGTCCGTACCGTAGCGCGGGAGCTAAACAAGCGAGAATTTAAGGAGGACGGAGTTCGATTCAATTAAAAGCTGATACATTGAATTTACCGCGGTGGTTATTATTTGTCATTTCCTCCGAGTATGATTGCACGAGAATCAAATGCCAAAAGAGGCCTGCATATTAGCGCGTTAAACTTGCCCTGTCTTCTTCGGACGGCATCATATTCCTACTTGGAAATGGTAAGACCAAATCGAAATTGTGGAGATGTTTGAATTGGGATCTTACACTGGCCACTTATATGGTTATTTGAAGTGCTTTGCAAATGAAATACAAATAATAACAAGTCAAGTATATCCCAAGAAGAGCACTCACCAGCGTTTAATCTTCTTAGAGGCAATATGCATCAAAACTTCCTCAAAGCATCAATTACTCACAAGGCTTACAGTTCAGATTCTTGGGCATACCGAACATCGAACCACAATAGCGTTGTCTAGGGACGACATGGGGGGCAGCGAGGGTCTCAAACCAAAACATGCAGCCCCACCAAGAAAGAAACATCGTGACTGGCTGATAGTGAGAAATGATGCGAAGAAATTTTTCTCGAAATGCGATCCACTATATATATATTTAAAATGGGATTCCGTGTATGAGACGATGCATACAAATGTTCACATAAGCATTGAGCTTGAAGAGAAGCTGGGGCTATAACCTGAATTGACGATCTGCGGCGCAGAATTAATTTCAGTGGCGCAACATTTGTACATGGATGTTATGTATTTCCAGAAGGATTGCGTGTGACAAGCCGGAATGCCTCGCCCGACATGTAACCATAAATTGAGCCTTGAGACCAGTTGGTATAGCGAATCATCGTCATAATCTCTGGAATTTTACGCCATATCCAAGATCCAGAAGAGAAGGTAAGACCGTAAAATGTCGGTCAACAAAGTCTATGCCGCATCTTATGCACCTGCTCAAATCAAGAAGGCTCTTTGTTAAGGTATCGTAGCCGTCAGGCAGCAGTAGATGCGATGGAGCTGGTGTAACAATTAACTTTTGCTAATCAAGTACATCTAGGTCTGACTAACGTGGTATCACACACAACTTTTTTCGGCAGGTCGTATACCTAGATAGCTAGTTTAATCAACCACAGAACTTTCCTGAGCGGCTTTAGTGGGGATCTCATGCAGACGTGGCGTTCTGAACGTGTTACACAAGTTCTGAATCCTGGTGCGATGTTTCGATGTCCCCGTTCATGCAGTCTAATTTCAGATAGAAAGGTTGCAAGCACTAGTGCTACGTGACCTAGAATTTTTGGCCGCCGATATTGGAAAGTCCTTGAATTGTAACTTCATTGATCCACCATGGTTAATATTAGAATACCAAGCGCGGAGAGTGTCTCTGGATTTTGAATAGCCTGTGCCTCGAATTTTAAGATTGAGCATTATTGTGCTTACCATAATGTTATCCTCCGTCCTGACTGTAGTACGAACCTAGCTGAGTAACAGTTTTGCTTTGATCGCTAAAGTAAATAGTTCCATAGCTTATCCAAGCTCTCGCCTATCACCCATGTGTATGACACGCTCATAATCTGCAGCAGGTCCATGCTAGTGTCATCCTTTTCATGCCCAATGTGTCGGATATAATATTTTGAAGATTATGGGTAATAAAAACACGGATCTATACTTGTTATTCATGTTATCTTTAACTTGACGGGAGAAAGCCAAAGAAATTAAACCCTCGTCACTACGGAGGGAGAGTCTTTATGGCACCCTCAGTGGACTTCTCAGTAGGAATGAATGAAGTCAATGTTTAAATACCCTTGTCTTGTAGACTAGTCCATTTACTTAAGCGTCCTTCCAAACGTCGCGGTACTTTGCCCATTCCTCAAAACCTGAAAAGTCAGTCGCTTACCAGGTATGTGAATAAAAGTGACACTCACCTAGTTGTTTTAGTTCGTCTACATCATTTGCTACACCGTCATAGAACATTCTCCTCATACCTTGCTGGTATAGTTTTTTGATACAAGCATCAAGTAATTCCGGGCGTAATGGCTCATTTCTCTGTGCTTCGAACCAATTAGCATTAAAAGATTTATTTTAGTGAAGCAGTTTAGATCACTTACGAGAAACGCATATGCATGTGACTCCACCAACATCATGGCCAATCCGCCCTGCCCATGGTAAATTAGAAGATATGGAGCTGCCACAGAATGGGGTGTATGTGAGTGCCGTTGCAATGATCTGATCTCCTTCCAGACATATGATAATGTCTTTCACGTTGGGTCCGTTCATTAGAGCAAAGTATTGATCGAACCATCCCATATTACCTTGTTTAATAGATGCTTCCTCGACCAAACGAAGTACCTCGACCATATCATCTTGTACACTTTGCCGATACTTAAATTTTTCTTGCCGTTGATTTTGATGATATTTCCATTCGGTAAAGTCTAGAATCAGATCATACACGCGTTGTCCCTGACCTCTTAACTCCTTGTTGAGTATCCAGCCTCTTCGGTGGAACCACTCATCATTCGCAGTCAATTCTGTGGATGAAGAAATAGGTGGCCCGTACAACAGCCTTGGAAAGATGCTCCCCAGGTGAAGACGAATGACGCCTCGTGTGCCTCTGAACTGTGCAATAGCATGATTATGAAGACTGAGACCAATGCCCTGTTGTCGATAGGTCTTTCCTACGACAAGAATCGCTAGTGATGCGATGAGTCTTTCGCCTTCTTGATCGACGTACGAAAGATATGTAGCACAAAAACCTAAAACCTCGCTCGTTCTTGGGTCCCGCACTACATAATGTTTTGCATAACCTGGGCGACGAAGTAGAGACACGAATGCCTCAACGTCAATGGAGAACCGGACATCAAAATTGTCACTCCAGAGCTTGAGAACACTCGGTACATCTCTAGATTCATTCCATTGGTCAACGGCCCAGAGCTTGGGTCGAGCTGCCTCCATCATACCGGACGCGGAACTATTTATCCCTATATTAGGACTGGATTCCCGCTCCCCAAAGATCACTGCAGCTGCGGCTTCCATATCTTCTGGTGTATATCCGGAGGTTAAGATGACTGTAGGGAACGGAATCGAATCTTGCTTAATTACTTGATCACTGCATACCATAATGAGGCTAAAATATGCCCATAAGTTAGTAGTTGTTCAAAAGAAAGACCTCAAAGAGGATTAAGAATTGACAGTATGTGGGAATACGTAGGAAATATTTGGAAAGCCTTCAATCAATCAAAGTATGATTTCCAGGAAAATGACATAAAATACTATGTTAAGCATACCAAGGCTTGTGATCGCTGACTGCAAAGAGGACTTCTGCGATTTCGAACTGATGATGATGTTCGGGATGATCCACGAAACAAAGTATAATGACATGGCTTCTTTTTATGAAACCTAAATGAGTTGAAGTAATGCCGTTTCTATGCTGATCAGTGTTGACCTTGCCAATTCGGATATTCCAATTACCTTCGTGTATAGGGGATATGCCGGACTTTGGCGTGTCTCTTGGCCAGAGCCCGTCCCAAACACTCAAAGGGATCACTGGTGTCTGTAATGTCTTGACTGATCGGCACTACAATTGGAGTTAGAAGTACCAGGACGTCTGATTCGCGAAGCGATCGTATTTTCGACAAGAAATCCGCCGAATCTCTCAATATCGTAGCTGAGGTATTTCCTTGATCTGATTGATCTTCTGATATATCTGATGAGGCAGAGGTGAAATCTTCGTCAGTGTCGCTACATACAGTTAGATTGCCCGCTGCAATTATGTTGTAACTAAAGGTGAAGGTGTATACATTGATTCTGTAATATTTCCTGATGCCGCAAGTGAGGACGACATAGCGCAGCTGAGACCTGTTTTGAAATCAACATTTTGACCTTTCATTAGCGTTTCAAAACTACCTCAAGTTTCCAAGATTGTGACGGCCAAAGGCTGGAGAAGAAGATATAGGAAGGCGTGTACCGACAGCTTGGTTGCTCAGCGTTTCTATGGCTTGCTTGATCACATCCCTAATCTTCGGTTATTTCCCTGTAAGGTGATAACATAGTATTAAAATTGTTCAAAGATCAAGTAACAGACGAAAGTCCACTTTTACACAAGTACACAAATACACCGTTCTCTTTGACTCTGACCGAATTAGATTGCCGCCAATGCGAAAAGAGTGTGGGTTCCATACCCTGCCGCCTGTTAAGAAGGGATAAACTAGTCGATCGAGCGTAGAAACGAGATATCATAGGATGAAGACGAATTGGTGTGACCCCCCTCCCCTCCATAAACCTTGCAGGCGGCGCACGAACCGGGTCATCCGCGTGCTGGGCTGAAGAGCAAAACCACACTATAAATGAAAGGTTGATTCATTGGGGCCTCAAAACGAGGTCTTTTGTTACCAATGAGGCAATACGCGGTGCATCTCTTAATACTATGGAAGCTTTGGAACGACTATCAACATTTACCAATTTATTTGGCAGAGGGAATCGTAGCCGCAACCACAAGAATTAATGCGATGCACCAAAACTACCAATGTAGAGCAAATGTTAACGATAATCCGAAGATGTTGTAAATGCTTCAGTAACCAGAATCTATTGAAAGATTCCAAAATTCTTCTCCCGTAATTCAGGTCATATTTCTTCCGGCTGTTGAACTGCCGAAGAGCATCTGAATTGTTCCTCGTCTTGTATTTCGCAGGTATAAGTTTTTTGGCAGCTTAGACTCAGGGCATGCTTAGTGTGTGATCAGGGCTTGTGCCTGCATTGCATGTCAAGGAGGGTAAACTAAGACCAGGGAGGTCAGCCAAGTTTGTACATGCATTCAATCTTTCCATCCTAGCTTCCAGCTGGAACATGAAGATGAATACCAAGACGAAAATCCGTTGCTTAGTTCAACGCCATGTTCTCGCCCAAATCGACGATTGACTGAATTTCATAAAATCGTTCGCATACCGAAAGCAGAGGCATAGCCAAGCCTGGCAAGACAAAGAGTTTTCCATGGGCTATGTATAGATCTGGCGTCTATACATCATATGCTCCAGCAGGATGCGGTACAATGCGGAAATTCAAGAACAACAAACGAGGTCCGGGGCCACTCTACCAGCGCAGCAAGTTGACACTCAGGAGCCTTCTGCTCACAAGTAGAAATTCGTAATGCATCTGCGTTAAAAAAAGAAGTACTCGGGGGTTGAGTTGCTTCCACCTGCTTCTCGCGGGCTCTCCGAAGGAGTAAACCTGTACAACACCAACACATGCTTGTCATTCACTCCACCCCCCTTGCACCAGGACGGAGTTGCAGATTTCAAACGATCGACTGCCAAAGAGTGCATTCATCTGCTGGCACGAATTTCATGCGTGGCTCCGTCAATTCTGTTCTCTCAGATACCAGCAGGGGTTGTTCTTTTTGACCATACCCATACGAAGCTTTCTTGAGTATGTGGTGCAATTTCCCAGCAAAGGGAAATGACTTCACCCTCGATGTAATAACAACAGTATACACCGAGAGCTTAAAGCCCGAAGACTGAAAGGGTATGGCAGAGAAGTCTCGCCCAGTATCAAGGGATGTCGTATGAATTGTAATCATAGCTAGATTGGGATAAGATTTGCCTGGATGTGCAGGCTCAACGGTCCAAGTACCAATGACATTGGCGTCTTTGAGGTAGGACAGGAGACATTTCCAATCATCCAATGTGGAAGATCTGTTTGAATGTTGATATTCATAGATATGGGTAAAAGAAGCGCAGGACGCGAATGGGTGATAATTTCGAGGTTGAGGCGGTCACTGAGGAACGCGAAAGGAGTCGTCAGGGATATGCCATCTATTGGGTTTCGCGCATATTTTATGGTTACACAGGAACCAAAGACGAAACGATGAGGGCGATTTTGAATATGCCTAGATACCGTAGGTGGTTGGATTTATGGATTTGGATTCTTTCTATTGCTCCAGATGTTCGAAATATACATATGTAGAAATATCTTGGAATGCCTGCATAGTCAATACCCAATGGGAAGTACCAAGTATCCATCTACATACATATACATCGAGTAATGCTAATCCTGTATTTACGTACTACTTCCCTTTCCAGCTTTATTATTTGCATAATATAATCTCTCGAAATGATGATGATGTAGAATATTAATCTATATGGTATAGACATAGGAATATTCTGTATTTAATAAACCCTCGAGGGGAAGTGTCGAATATGTATATATACGGAACAAACTACCAATTAATACTATTCGATCTGTACCCAGTTCTATCCGTCATGTTCTTGATTGACGGAATATGATTGATAAAAAGGGTATCCATAAGTATGTAGAACAGTGACTTAAATGTACAATGCATATATATATCTATGTATGTAGATAAATTCGAAAGTATAATGATAATTTATTTGAAAAGAAATTTTGGAATAGCAAGTCGGGTAATATTCATCCCTTCTTTGATTCCCTTCCAAGAAGCAAGAACGTCAAAAATATACACACAACATTTGGACTTCTGAACTGAAGTCCGACAATAAAACTTTACGAACAATCATAAGACTATACCTACATCGTGCCAATCCAGATATTGACAAGCTATGGAGAGTCCTTCTGGGATCGAATACAATATTGATGTTGATGATATTCTTGATGATTTGGAAAACGGTAAGATCCAAACGCGTCTTACGCGACCACAACCATTACCTACCATAGATTTCTGATAACGAAGAAAAATACTGACAATCAATATAGCATCACGTATTCCCGCCAAGCAACGGTCGGTAAAGGTTTCAAGCCACGTGGATAGGCTATGCTCGAGAGCGTATGGAGAAGGGCTATCTAATGCGTCGCTGGAAAAGCTTATTGACATCCTCACTCTGCCCAACGAGCTCGATCAAGGAAGTGTTGGGAACTTGATCAAGCATCTTTATCCGGCGAGCAAAGTTCCAGATGCAGTAGTCATCAAAGTAGTGGGAGCTCTGGGCCATGGAAAGGCCAAACCCTCTTATGCAGCTCAAGCCGCATTGTTGAAATGGATAGTCCTGGTCTATGATGTTTTGGAGAATCCAAAGATTTTGTCACAACTTTATGCTGTACTGTTCAATTTGCTTGATACTATTGCCCTCAGGTACTGTCTATCTATACCTAGATTTCTAGACTATGGCATCGCGGCTAACATTCGCAAGGTCACAGTTGTGTCACGTGTTGTCCCTCATCACTCGCCGAAAACACGTTCGACCATTTAGGATACAGGCATTGTATGTTAGAGCAAGACATTGTACAAAGCTCTGCTAATTTTCCTTCAGAATGCAATGGACAAGAAAAGCGGGTCACGATCCAGCTCTGGTAGGACTTATGAGGGTATACAAAGATTACTATCCCGAGGTCATCGTAGGTGACGTGACTTCCGGGAGAGCTTCAGTGTTTATGGTTAGTTCTCGCCAATTTTTTATTCATACCTCATGTTTTAATATTATTAGCATCCAAATCGTGAGTGGCGGGAAAGGCTCGGCATAATCCAAGAAGATCATCTTCAGAAGATAGAGGACAAGCTTGTTTCTACTCATCAAAATTTCCGTATATCCCGAAAGACTACCAAAGAGAGAAAGCACGGGTTTTTACCTGAAGTACATACATCGTATGCCCAAGATGTAAGTGCTCGTTTCAAAGCTTACGATCAGTTCTAACCAGTTACAAGACTTCAATCACACTAGAGGAAGTAGGAGATGTGAATGAGTTTGTCCAAAAGCTTGAGAAGATCGAGCTCCCAAACCAATTAGTGGCTAGTATTCATAACCCTTTGCTTCAGAAGTTGCTGCATCTCAGGTCTTCGGAGACTACGCTGCAACGCATAGATTATTGGCTTCTGGCTTTTTTCGAAGATCATTTAGAGAATGGTCGGTCCTCCGAGACGCAGACAGCAGATATGCTCGAACTTATACTTCAATACACTAGATACACCAAGGTCTGTTGGATCACAAGATATTGCTTCGCTCTACTAACACATATTAGATACTGCCTTCGGCATGCTTCTCGTATTTGGAATCCCTGCTACCTTTTTGGAACGGTATCACAAACCGTGATGTAATCTTAAAGTTGTTAAGCTATACTCCCATTGGTTCCTTTGACGGTATGCCACAAATCGCACAATATGTTCAAGACTGACCAAGCAGTAGACCTTTACCAGAGTATATTCTCTCTAGTTGAAGATGCAGTTATAGATGGTACTCACGAGTCGCAGCTTGCTCTCCTCAAATTCTACAAAGCTTTGCTCGGCCAGTGGAATCTCAACATACTCTCGGAGACTTCAACCTCAACAAACCATGGTACAGACCTAGCCGCGCTGGTGAATCACGCCAATCAGCTGGTCGTCACAATTCTGCAACAGTCTTCGAGTGTTTCAACTTACTCAAATATTCTTGAGTTTTACGAAGCGAATGCATTCCTCATATCTCACCCAGCTATAACATCTAAAGTCCGAATAGCTATTCCCCCGCCTCAAATTGTTTACACACTCTTCTTCAGCTCCAATTTATCGATCATCTCCCGCATTTGCAACATCCTGGCCCTATACAAGAAATCTCTTGAGATGGCCATGGCCTCACGCACGGGTTCGAATGCACTTGGCAATCAGTCATATCCCAAGGAATATGTCAATCGCTTTAATGGTTTTCTAATGGATATCTGCAATTGTTTGTGGAGATCACGGGCTTTCCTCACAGCAGATGTGAATGCACTTGGCTGTTTACTCCCAGAGCAGACGATGGGAGTTTTGGCCGTTTACGTTGGCAAGCTAGAAAAATCGCTTTCACTTAACTCCCTATTCAGTATCTCGTACTCGCCAGCAACATGTCATCTTGCCATTGCATATGTGAGGGAATTAGAGGACCAAGCCGAAGATAAAATTGACGTAAGACACGCTGGACCAGTGACACAAGTTTCTTTGAGGAAGCTTCAAGAAGACGGTGGGTTGTCTGTATCGTGGCAAGACTATAGATTGGGTGTCTTGAGATATCTGGAGCGCAAAGGTTTCCCTGGGGCTGGAGAATTGATGTACAACACTATGAAGCATCTCATGGCTGCCAGACAAAATTCCGCATAGGACCCACCAAGAAGAATGCAATGCACGTTTTACAACGACCTCATAGAGTACCAGCATTAAGACATACATAGCAACTTCCAAAACAAAATATCTATTCAAATCCCATGCCCGTCTCATGATTAAGTATTACAACAATGCTAGGTGTATGTTCATCCGATCTATCCCATCGCAATCATTAACTCCCGTACGAAAACAAAATAAATCCAGTCGTCACCGCCGCGTTTTCTCGTTTCTCACATCCCATCGTTGATATTGGTACACGGCCCCCAGTATATACGTTCCTTGCGTGAAAGTCCAAAATCATAATTCCTTTCCAACTCCAACCGCGACAGCTTTTGCAATAGTTTCCTTGGCCACTGCTTCTATGACCGGACTCGCAGATGTAAGGGCAGACTTGGCGGACTCGTCTCCGTTGTAGTAGAACCAGGCGCGGTTGGTAAGAAATGTGATGTGCTGTGGGAGATAAAGTGTCATGGCAATAATGATCATGCTAAAGAAGAGAAAGAGGAACGAATCTGCAGATCAAGATGTTAGCCACACGTGCATTTTAGTTGAAGACTCGAGAAGGGGTGGACAAATGCAACCAATGGAATAAGAATAAGAGGCTGCCGGTCGAGAGGTTAAAAGACATACTAAATATAAATTTCTCTGTGGGTGTCAACATGTACAATGAGAATGTGACCTGCTCAAATGTGTCAGAATCTATTCTGTTTGGCTATTGACGAGCGCAAATACCTCATATTGATATCTCTTCCTCTGCAGCCATCGAAATGTAGATGCGAACATAGACATTGTTACCCCTTATTGCTGTCTGTTTCTCGTAGTTTGACCGTGTATTTCCTCGAGTCCGTTCAACAGTGAGAATAGCTGCGATTTCTAAGTCTTGTTTAATTGATGATTCAAAGAAGGGGAATTCAACTATACACAAGAAGATTATGATGTGAAGATGAATATGATAGAAATTGAGGTTAAGGGAAGGGAAGAAGTGGAACGATGCACCACCAATGGAAGCGGAACTTTTTGTTTCGAATACCCGTACGGAGCAAGTACCTGAATATCAAATTTCCGGGGTGGACGATAAGCTCACCAAATCACTATGCTAATCAATGCGATGGAATTACGATACAAGAAATAAAATTTACGATCCAACTACGTCGATTTATTTCATGGCAATCAGTAGATTGTCAACATGTACAATGCTACGAGGATTACTTTCAATAGTTTCCAGAAGCACCGGCCTTGAAAATGTTACTGCTGTGAATTCAAACTCACTCATTAAACGCAACATTTGCAATACAACGCCATTATGGAAGAAAAAGATGCCCGACCGGCCAGCACCCATTGATGAAGCAGAATTTACTGAAGTATTTTTGCACGGCAGTGGGCCGGGAGGTCAGAAGATCGTAAGCCCATCTGCCATTGAATCTGAAGTCGAGAACTATAACTCACCATTCCATAGAATAAAACCTCATCCGCAGTGCAGTTGAAACATATCCCGACAGGTATGGTCCTCAAAGTTCAAGCCACCCGTTCTCGTACACAGAATCGCAAAATCGCACGGCAAATGCTAGCAGAAAGGCTTGAGTTGTTGGAGAAGGGGAAGGAGAGCAGGGTTGCGATTGTAGGGGAGACCAAAAAGAAGAGGAAAAGCAGTGCTGTAAAGAAAAGTAAGAGAAAATATCGACTGTTGGCAGAAGAGAAAGCTGTGAAAGCAGGTGAGGACAAGGCCGAGGAGGAGGAGGAGGTCGAGGAGGAGGGATTTGAGGAGGTGAATCTTGATGATGGCGAAAAACCCCTGGAAAATATGGAAGTTCCAATGCAAGAGTCACCGAGCAGAGGGAGTGGTCCTTGACGTTGAGAATATCCTTTCAGAATTGTTGTCTTCACCAATATCCAAGAAGCTTTCTCGGGTGTTCATGTAAAACCGTTCTACTATCGATGGTGGACATGTATGCCCGCATATATTGTCGCTATATCCGCTTCCCAGCCCGTTGTATGAGGTGGTATATTTATCTACATTGACTGCAGGTCTAGCACTCAGTTCGATTAGATTCGAACCTTCAGCTCAATCCAAGCATTCAACTCGCCTTAGGTGTTTATTCATAAAATTCAGTATAACATTTTCAATGCAGCTCTAATCTTTACAAGAGACGATAATCATGATGGCAAACTCAAGACTTTACGAGATCAACTCCTCCACTCAACTCAATGTCTTCTTCAAGCACACTCAACTCCTCGCCAGCCTTAATATTTCTACATTTTTGGAGTGGTTCCTCTAGCACCTATGCTCCTCTCATCACTCCACTCTGCTCCAACCACTACTTCCTAGCTCTTGATTTCCGAGGCTGGTGTTCCTCCACTGGCCCATAAGATCCAGATGCGTATCACATCACGGATCTCTCCAACGATATCTTCACTCCCATTCCCGAGTTTCTCTCACCAAATCACCCATTCATTCTCATCGGCCACTCAATGGGTGGAAAGGTTGCTATGCATCTCTCTTCTACCATTGAATCACTTTCTCCTACAAAATCGTTTCCAAGACTCCAAGCCCTCATACTTCTTGCGCCTGCTCCTCCTACGCCTCTGATTCTTCTTGAGGAAATGACAAAGCAGCAGTTGACAGCCTATGATAGCATTGAAGCTACTACTTTCGTCGTTGCTCATGTTCTGTTCTCTTCACCTTTTTCTGAACATGTGGTCAGTAGTTTAGCTACGAATGCGCTAGCTGGCAACCAGTATGCGAAAGCAGCATGGCCGAAATATGGGATGCATGAGAATATATTGGAAAAGGTGAGGAACATCACTTCGCCTACGTTGGTGTTCGCTGGTGGGGATGATAGGGTTGAAACGGTAGAAAGAGTGAGGAAACATTGAGTAACCTGAGTGGGGTGGCAGAGGAAAGAATATCGTTTATAGTCTTGGATGAAATTGGAAACTTAATGATGTTGGAGGCTTCGGACATACCGAGTCATGAGATTGAAAGATTTGTCGACGGAATTGTGCATGTGGTTGGTTAAATTAGGGATGAGGAACAAATCTGCTGTTCAACATAGTGCTATGCTGTAATTGTCAGGGGATGCAATGAATGATTAATAGAAATTAAAGTATAGATGCTATCGAAAAAGATACAATTTAGCGTCAAATGATTATTTATTATATCTTCATTAGAGACATTACTGAAGAGACAGCAGCTATTGTGAATGCTTCTCGGATGTTTCTGTTATTTATATAGACTATTATAAGAGAGATTGTGATAGCCAGCAATGATTCATATAAGCTTTGCGCCTTTCCCATATGAAATTTCAGTACTAGCAGCATGTTCTCTTGACTCCTTGTTGCATTAAAAGGCAAAACTCCCTATTCGCGCCTTGGTGACATCCTACCCAACCCACTTGCCCCCATACACCATTCTTCGCATCTGTTGGTAATACATACAATCTAATCAGAAGCAGAATCAAACTCCGATTCCGCCACCTCTCTCAGCAGTGCAAAGTCAAACTTTCCATCTACTTTCGCGATCATTCCTTCTCGGATGAGTTGTAACTCTAAGGGTGCAAGATCTTGGTCGGAATTCTGACTCATAACTGAAAGTACAAGACCTTGGTTTGTATCTCGTAAAGTCGAAACATAGGCCAGTAAGCCATCGAGAGTGAAGCTAGAGATTGCAGCGATAGATACATCTCGCAAATTATGTAATTTTGATAAGTAAGGCAAGATTTCATCTCCAATACCATAACCTGAGAAGTGAAACTTTTCGAGAAGAGGCAGGCTTGTTGCGAGACGTTTGATTTCGTTACTACTGAAATATTCAAACGATTCCATGATGGTAAGTTCCTTGAGCTTAGTGAGTTGACATATGGATGTGAGAAGATTATCAATATCATCTCTGACTCTAAATACCTCGTCCGAACCACCTCGAAGTTCAAGGGCCTCGAGTTCAGTCTGGTGTGAAATTGCTCTATGAAATTCTGTATCATTGACAAGAGAAGGGCCAGTAACTACCAACCGTTGCAGTCGGATATCGTTTCGTAGACAAACCTGCTTTAAAATGGCTGGGGCACAAACAATTCTGTTTAGAACCAGTTCTCGGAGCTTCTCGCAGCGCCCCAACCATTCGACGACTTCAAGAAATACATCGTTCTCTGTAGCTTCCAAGTCCACAGTATGTTGACTATCCTCTAGATCGAGTGTCTCAAGCGCAGTGCATCTTTGAAGAATGTTGAGATTCTTGATGGCTTCCGAATTGAGGCTCTGTAGCCTCAAGCTCTTCAGTGATTCGGAATGATGGTTTAAAGCGGTCAGAAAAGAAGGACCAATCCTGCAGTTAGACAAAACCTCGACTGAAAGGAGACTGTTCTGTGTGAGGCCTTTTATGAATGATGCAGGATTGTGATCGGTATCATCTGAACACACGAATATACGGATCTCGTCAAAGTTGGGACAGCTTTTGGAGATCACCGTCGCAACGTTCTCATTCAATGATTTCCCGTCCCAAATCGTCATGGATTTCAGCCTTGATAAGCGTCCGGCCCATATTGGCAATGCAATTGATGTAATATCCCCTGAAAGATTCTCCAAAGCGACCGTTGTTTGATTTTCATCCGCGCGCTCGCTGACATATCTTGTGATTGATTCTCCTATCAGATTGATAATGTTTGTAGTATTGAGTCGTACTTGTGGACCTCTCTTGGATCGCCTTCTGGGTGTCCCATCTACACTTAGAAACTCTGCCATCTCATCAGCAAAGAAGTTATCCTTCGCAGCCACTCGGAAGGTGGTATCCTCGAGAAGATTCGAAAGATTGGTTAGATCGAGCGATCGTATATATAGACAGTATGGATAGGCAGTAGTCCCTAGACTAGAGCGTACAACAGATTGCCATAATTTTGCCCATTTCGAAGCCGCGCTGTGTTTAGAATTGCGCTTTTGGATTTTTGACCACTCAGGAGCCTCTCCTTCACTGCTAATAATTCTCAAGTATTCATTATGTGTCCTTCAGGGATCAGCTAAGAGCTTGGTATTGGAAATAGACTTCTGGGCAAGATACCTACCTGTATAACCATTGCAACGCCGAGCCAACCAGTTGTTTTCCGGAGAAAGCACAATTGAAAAGAACTCCGAATTCTAGTTGAGTGGCTAACTCTTCGCATATTTGAAGAAGTATGTCTCCTGGTAAGTTCATGTTCCTCTGCTCGTTAGGTGTAATGTGGCGTGCTGGACAAGAGATGGTATCTTTGGGGTTTGCCTCGATTTCGAGCTTCACAGACATTATATCGCAGCACTGAACGGTGGCCAATTCCTCCGGGTAGACAGACGATGGTTAATATTTTAATTTATTATGATCGTGATTAGTACCTTGAATTATATTGACATGGAAAATGATAAATAGGAGTTAAGTGCATGTAAAGTAAGTTTTTATTGTAGATGCTTTTATCCTTGAGCATTTGTGCTTGTGATGATGGATGGAGACGCGGGGCAAATCGCGTAATTAGGCAGGACGCGATGGATAACACGTGATTTCGACTTTTGAGGAAGATCCAGTTCAATTCAATTAACATTACACTTCACTTCTAGTCTATACTAGATATCACGATAGAACTGGGAGGCAATTCACATTTACCATATTCTCCAGAGATTAAATTCAGGTGATATTCGTCATGGCGATCCTGACTTTCACACTCAATCCAGATGCTTTGGGGAGATTCCATGATGCACTCGTTTGTCTTGGGAAATTCAGCGAAACAGTATCTATCGAAGCTACTCATAGTAGGGTATGTTTAGATATTTAATTATTGTAAGTAATTGCTAATGCTATTTACAGCTTATCTTGACAACGCTCAATTCAACAAAGTCCGCTTATGCTTCCTTTACGTTGGTGGGAAATAAGTTCTTCTCTAAATATCAATATACGCCACTGCGTAGTGGTCGCAAAACACCGGAAAAGTTTAGCTGCAAATTTTACAACAAAGTATGTCTGCATTTTGTGCAGTATCAAGATTTTTGGTTGATTGTTTGATAGGCTCTACTCGCGGTTTTCAAGGGTCGCATCGGAGGTGATGCTTTCAAGGAAAAGGATACTGCCATAGAAAAGTGTGATGTTTCGATTGAGGATGGAGATGGGGCAACAAAAAGTCGTTTTATCGTGAAGATTCTATGCAGACATGGTAAATCTAGAATCATAATGATGAGACATCTTTTTGCTAACCAACGCACCACAATTAGGGGTCTTGAAGATTTACCGACTGAACTTTGAAGCTATTCCTCCCCTGCATGCTTTATTTTCGAGTGAAGCAGCTAACAATAGCTGGTCAATCTCTTCCAGAACCCTGCGCGAGTTTGCAGAGCATTTTGGACCAGGTACTGAACAACTCGATATTTTCTCAGTTGATGGACGCGTGAGCCTCACCAGTTTCACAGAAAAGATTATGTCCGGGAATGGCAAGTTTCACCTCGATCCCAAAGATCTTTCAAATCACTGATTCTTCTGTAGAAGTTCTGAAGCAGCCTTTGCGCACCACAATAGCCGTGGAAACTTTGGAGTTCGTCGAGTTCACTGTCGAAGAGCAGCTGCACATTGTCATCAGCGTCAAAGACTTTAAATCAATTATTGCGCATGCCGGGATAACCAACACGAATATCAGAGCTCTATACTCTAACCCTTCTAGTCCAATGCAGCTTACCTATAGTGAGGGCGGAATGCAGTGTGAATTTATCCTTATGACAACCGGTGAAGCGAGGACGGCGTCGGCAACGCCAGCTACAAACGGAAGTCGAGCAGTTTCAAAGAAACCGGCTTTAAGGCAGCCTCTAGAAGCCGCATCGAGTCTGAAGAGAACTAGATCAGGCTCCGAGATGGCTGCACCGGTTGGTCCAAGTCCAAGTCTAGTTCGGGAAAACACACGGAGAAAGGTCTCTAGACCTTCGCCACCACCCCCACAACCTAGCATCCAATCACAAGCGCTATTCATGCCGGCGAACGATGACGATCGTAGATGGGACCCTGTTGATTATGAGGATGAGGACAACGAAATGTTATTGTGGGATGTAACTGTGGACGTAAGTTTGGTTAAGATCTGCCGAGACTACCTCTAACACTTGACAGGAACCGTCAGCTGGTGACCCAAGTCGTAGATTGCAAGAGACTCAAAATAAGAGTAATCCCGAAGACTCAATTCCGCCCAACGAAAAGTACATGACTGTGCCGACACAACGAGTGGCGCCAACTCAACGACTATCACAAGTAAGTGGCCCAATCCTACAGTCAAGTAGTTTATTAACAGCATTAGCTTCGCGGCTTATTTGACGAGTGATCTCTTAGATCGATTCTTATAAAAAAGAGGCTTAGATGGGGCATAGATCGAAGTCAAGCCTGGGCATGATTCCAAGATATATGGCGTGCGTTTCCATGCTCACATGTGCGTTACCGGGGTACAATAGAATTTGGCGACGAGATTAACAGGCCGAGAAGAACAAGCAGGTAGCTTGTTGAGATAATGATTTGCCCGTCTTATTTCGGCTATCATGAATTTAGGCAAATCCAGCTGGTAGCGCAGCCAGTGCCAATGTATGAGATATTTGCTCCCGGCGGCAAGTATTTAGAGGATGCCACCACATTCCAGGTGTCTTTCACATCTCCATCTTTCGTTTTCGGTCCGCAGTTCCCGTGTTCACCCCATCCCCATGCACATACTTCGCCTTCCACCGTGAGTGCTAGGCCATGCTCACTGCCAATCGCAATCTGACTCGCGGGCGGTAATCGTGATGGGGCTAACTGCCCATGGTCATTCCTTCCCCAGCACAAAAGAGCTTTGTTTTCTTGTAGAAGTAGGATGCTCCCCCATGTACTGCCAACATCAGTCCAACCCGTTATTTTCTCTGGTGCTGAAGACCTAATGTTCCATTTATCAGACCCTAAAATTTTATGTTGGCCACTCGAGGACTCTGCCAAAAGATATGTGAACTCCCTTCCGCAGACAGCTCTAACAACATTGAAATTAAGACCTTCAATCTTGCGAGGAGCATGCACAATACCGACAGGTTCACCAATTTGTCCTTTACGGCCACTTCCCCAACCATAAACGTCCCCATTACTTAAAACAGCCACTACATGACTGACAGAAGTGGCAAGGTCAACGACTTGCAAACCGGTTGGTGGAAAGTCCTCAATCATGTGAGCTTTGGATGATCGAAATATAAATTCTCCCAGACCTAGTTCCCCTTTATTTCCTGTCCCAAAAGAATACATCTTCGTCGCATGACCATCTTCATCCTGCTGGACAATGATCGACGCTTCCCAAGTTGCTGCACACAAAACTACCAGTGCTTCATTGATTGTGGGATCATCCGAGAGTTTTACACGTCGAAATCTCGAGTGGGAAGAGTGTGAATCGGGAGTGAGCGCACAAGCTCCGTTGGATGAATCGCCCGAGCAATATAGTTTACCTGAAGTCGATAATATGAGGGTATGATTACCTCCAGCTCTGATTTGCTGCACTCCTTCGGGTACATCATCGTCGAACAGAACTGGCTTTGGAACTGATACATCCTCTTCGTGGCCGATTCCAAGTTGTCCTGAGCCATTTGAACCAATGGCATATATCGCGGACATTGTTAAATACTGAGTTTCTGGTGATGCAAAATACCTGGAGGGAATTTTGACTTTCTCCGACTGATTTAAACTAAACTTCACAAATTGCAATACTCTAGAAAACAAGACTTGAAAATTTCTTTCTATGAAGTTTGAAGATGATATGGAGGATAAGTTTTAAGTCAAGAGTTCGATTCTGAAGGTCTCTCGCTCTCGCGAATCGAAACACCACGTGATATCGGTATCAGCATGTCTCTGAAATCCGGAGCTAGTTTTACTAGCTTCATTTTAAGCGAGAAAACTTTCACACATCCAGTTTTGCAATAAAGTTTTCGCGATCGCAGTTTAATATTTTCTTTTCGATACGACAACCTCGAAAACCGCCAATCCGCCACGATGTCTGCCACGTAAGAATCTCCCCAAAAACTCCTTCGAAGAGTCAATCGATTGTTTTGGATTCAGATATGGTCGCGTTCCTCTCGAAAGCTGGAACCTGAAAATGGTTTCCAGCTCGAACTGTCCTAAGCTGCTCCCTCGTTGATTCAGGTCCTTGGACTTGCACTTCGAGAGACGTAGTATGGGGTCTTGGGGTTGAAGATGAAAATCTTCTCCCTTAAAATAATTGCCGCTCAAGGATGGAAATTCAATGGTATCTCTAGAGAGCCATGAAAACATTCAATTACGCTGTGCATATTTCTTGGATTTTTGCCAAGGTTTTGTTGGATGAGAATATTTGTCAACTGAGTCCTGCGATTCTGCCTTCGTGGGAAGAGGGATCGTCGAGGCTGGTTCATTTTTCACCGATTAAAGTCATTACAGTCGAGTTTGCCTTTTGCGAGAATGCTGCGCTATAGCTGCAATTCCCTCTCGGCGCTCTTCTCCATACATATGTATGCGGGACACAAGACTAATATTTGATATAGAACCACCCCAACTGCCCAGCAGGTTCTCATCCCTGAGACTCTCTTGAAGAAGCGCAAGAGTCAAGCCAAGGAGAGAGAGGCAAGAGCCGCTGAGACCGAGAAGGTCAAGAAGGTATATTACCACCCAACCCCAATACCACATGGCATGTGTTACTTTACATGATGCATAAACAACCATGTTTGCGACTAGACTTTACGTCGATGTTGTCCAAATTAACCATCTTTCGGGTCTGACAAAAGTTCAACACATGCCAATGGTACTTCAAAATATGTATGACCTCGAGACTAACCTTACTCGTCATATAGGCCAACAAGGAGAAGCGTGGTGTCATCTTCAAGCGTGCTGAGAAGTACGTTAAGGAGTACCGTGATGAGGAGCGTGAGAAGATCCGTCTTGCTCGTGTCGCCAAGCAATCTGGTTCTTTCTACATCCCAGCTGAGCCTAAGTTGGTCTTCGTTATCCGTATCAAGGGTATCAACAAGATCGCACCAAAGCCCCGCAAGATCCTCCAGCTTCTCCGTCTTCTTCAAATCAACAACGGTGTCTTTGTTCGCATGACCAAGGCTACCCTCGAGATGCTCAAGGTCGTCGAGCCATGGATCGCCTATGGTTACCCCAACCTCAAGACCGTCCGTGAGCTCGTCTACAAGCGTGGTTACGGAAAGGTCGACAAGCAACGCATTGCTCTTACCGACAACTCCATCATTGAGGCTAACCTCGGCAAGTACGGTATCGTCTGTATGGAAGATTTGATCCAC